TATCTGCAAGTCAATATTAATCTTTATCTTCCTCTATTAGCTGAACAATCTACATTTATACCTCTACCAAAATTTATACAACAAAAAAAAGCAGTACTAAATATTAAAAACAACGATCAATGTTGTTTCTTTTGGGCTGTTACTGCAGTTCTTTATCCTGTTTTTGTAAATTCAACAAGAACAAGTTCATATCCTGATTACAAAAGTATGTTAAAATGTGAGGGTATCAACTGTCCTACAACCTTACATGATGTTCCAAAATTTGAAAAACTCAACGATTTAGCAATAAATGTGTATGGTTTAGATGACTGTACGTATGGTTTAGATAATAATTGTGAAATTATTCCGTTATATTTAAGTAAATATTATAAAGTAGATGAGCCATGTATTCACCTGTTAATGGTACAAAGTAGAGTAGAAGTAGGTGATGAAAATAATATTAATCCAGTTTTTCATTTTTGTCTGATAAAGGATCTTTCAAGATTAGTTGGAAATCAAATTTCTAAAAATGCACACAAACTATTCTTATGTGATAGATGTTCAAATCACTTTAAGATAGAAATAGATAGATTGCATCAAAGATAATATACATAAATTTGACACCTCAGACTATCCACCAAATAACCGTTTTAATATTCCATTAGTTAATAAAAAAATTGTAGGCCTTATGAAAGATGAAAATAAAGGTGAAATAATGACGGAATTCATTAGTCTCAAAGCAAAAATGTACACATTTAAAGTTCAAAAAAAAAAGAAAAATATGATAAAACAAAACTGCAACAACAAAATCTATAACATTTGAAGTTTAAAAAATGCTTACTTAATCATGAAAAATTATGTAAAACGGAATATCATATAGTTAGCAAGAAACATGAAGTATATACAATTAGTAGACAAAAATTAGCATTAAGTTGGGAAAACAATAAAAGAGTTCTTTTAGCACAAACAACTGATACACTTCCTTGGGGTTATAATTTATATTAAATAGTGTAAATAAATTATTTTAAATATGAGGTTTATATTAAAAAAATAATTTGTAAGCAAAAAAATTTATTCCATAAAAAAAAAATATATAATAAATTATTTACATTAGTTTGTATTGAACTCATCTTCTACAAATAATATGACAAAATCATCTTCATTCTTAGTGGTCTTATTTTTTTTAATTTCTTTTAACATTCGTTTATCAATTTTATCAAGACGTTTAATTATTTTTTTTCTCTCTTAATTTGTTGTTGTTCTTTATGAGTTAAAGATATCCATTTAATATTAGCAGCTATATCTTTTGTATAACGTGGTAATTTTTGAGCATCACTATACATTTTGTCAGCCATTGTTTCTAGCTCTTCAGCTAAAGACATTTTGGCAGTCATTGTTCTTAACTCATCAGTTAGAGACATTATAAATCTTTTATGTTAATCCAGCTATTGTGTGTTTTATCAAATCCTAACCACTTGACAAAAGCTTGATTATCACGTTTCAGAACTTTTTCTACCAAATAAATATCAGGGTATTGAACCTTAGTCAATTCTTCTTGATAAAAACCTCCTTCAATCGGTTGATCTTGATAGTGGCAAGCTTGTAGGTTACTGGATCAGTGTTCAATACTTGACTTACATTAAAGATTTCAGTTGTCCAATTAGGGGTGTATCCCTTCTCAAAGACATGCTTATATTTACTTATGCGTACTTTGTCCCCAACCTTAAATTTAGTCTTTTTTATTTTTTGTTGAACTTCAAGTTTATTATTGTAGATAGTATGATGTAATTGTTTCTTATTGGCTGAAGTAACATCAATCGGTTTCATTTTGATGGTTCTATGTTTGCTATTGTTATATGATGTCATCAATTTTGGTAAGATGTCTATCCACTGGTAATTACCACGCAACGTAAATTGTTTCCACATCTGACTTTTTAACGTGCGATTAAATCGTTCACATATAGATGCCTTAAGATTACTAAATGTGGAATACATTTTGATATTATATTGTTTCAAAAGTACTTCAAATTCTTTATCGTAAAATTCTTTTCCTCTATCAACATGCAAAAATTTTGGCACTCTTTTTTGTGATAGCATTGATTTCATTGCATGGGCTACATCTTTACCATTTTTAGATTTTGTGGGCACAGCCCAAGTGTATTTTGAAAAAATAGCAATAACAGTCAATAAATACTGATGACCTTTATTATAAGATTTATATGCTGTCATGTCAACTAGATCAGCTTGCCAAGTTTCATCAAGCCCACGTATATCAACATGTCGTCGTTGATAATTTCTTCTAACCGGTCTATGCAGCTCTTCAGTTATTATTTCTTTCTCTTTGTTCATGATGCTGCTGATCAAGATATTTCCGAATATTTTCTTCCAATTGTTCAATACTTTCAGGTTGTTTACGATTTGCTTTTTTCAGTAAACGTAATCGATCTGACTCATGCAGTTCGATTGTTTCATTCAATTCTTCTTTCAGACGTTTACGATGTTCTTGTGATGATTCAATATGTTGCTCCACTTGAACATTAATGATTCTGATTCTTTCTCGATTTTCTTCAACATTTCTTCTTAAATTTGCTACAGTTTCGCGAGACAGACGTAATTCTATATCAATAAATTTTTTCAAAATTGTAATCTTTTTTTTAATTACTCCTAATGATGTTGCATCATTCAAATCTACTGGTTTAGCGAGATTACACAATCTCTTATTATCCATGTCAAACTGTTGATCCACAGTTAATTTGAATCCTTCACCAGGAGGCCCACGAACAGCACTTCTCACAATATCTTTCGCTAACTGTCGTCCGAAAACGTCAACACTCATTTTTAAATCTTTCACTTCAAAAGTTCTTCAAAGAATGAGTAGCTGTGTAGAATACATCAGATTAATAAATGCTTCACGTAATTCCTCTAGAATTGATAGAATTTCGTTAATATAACTGAAATTTCCAGCAGTTTGAGATGCAATAAGTAAACGAAGTCGATCTACAAGTTTATTGGGATCATCCCAATAAATATAATCTATAGGATGATTTTGTTTATGTTTAATCATATACTGTGGTAAACTTTCCCCACTTTTTGGCATATATTTACTGATTATGTCGGTGAATTTTTTTAAATTCTTATCTACTCTGATACTTCTGTTAGGAAGATAATGCTTTCGATAGGCGTTTGTCATACTGATAATTCTGCAGTACATGTTTTCATCTTCTTTTGTTATTTTTGATTGATCAGATGAATTCATAAATAATAATTCCAATAGACCAGAAGTAGTATTGTATTCTTTATCACCAATATAAATAAAATTATTGTCGAACCTGACTTCAGAATCACCCATCATCAGTCGATTACCTTTCAACTTTCGTATGCTATACTTTGTATCTAATTCTTTGGACAAGAGCTTAGAATCGAACATCTTTAAATACCTTACTACAGGTATGTCTTTAATAGAAGTACTTTGATGGGTAATTGTTGCTGTTGTATAAGAATCATCATCAGTTATTTTATAATCAGGTGTAAGGCTTTCTTGTTTGCTTTCAACTTCTTCTTTAGGTTCTTCTTTTTTTATTTTCATTTCTAGAGATTCCTCTTTAATAAGTGTTTTATCAGCTAATTGTTTAAGAGGAGTCACCATAGGTTTAAATATTTCACTCATGGTTTGTTCATATCTCTTCCAAGTTTAATCAACTTATGCTTTTGACATATTGCATCACTAGCTTTTGCTATTTGATGGAATATTTTTTCCTCTTGTTGCAGCTTCATAGTTTTTATGTTGACACTTTGACAATCACATAAATAATGTACAATTTAATATATTTACGGTGAATTTATACTTATGAAGCAATCAAATCCTCTTCTATATCGCCCATTATTAAGATCACTGTCTTTATCAATTACCAAGAAGCCATATTTATCATTATTCCAGCACATTGAACATATATCTCGAAAATGAGAATAAGTCATGTTAGTATTTACATGATCATCGTAAATGTGTTTTAGATTCATGTCATCTTGCCTGAAAAGTACAAGAAAGTTTGTATTATCACGTACTGAATGTTTTGGGATTCGTGCATAAGTTTGACAAAGATAGAAGCAGTCAATATCTCTATGTCGTCCCATACAAAAATAGATTCGCATATTATCTTGTTTTTCGCATGCTATGTCATCGAAAATCATAATTGAGTTGGGTTTTGCTTCATCCGGTTTTACCACTTCCTTATGCTCATTAAAAGCATAAAATTTAATACCTTTAATTGGTTCAATTGTTTTTTTTAAAAACTAATATTTAGGTTGGTTGAATGATTTTGGATACAAATGAATATTTTCAAATCGTAGGCCATTTAGATGTAGAATAAGTGCTAAAAGAGTATTTGTCTTTCCACAATTTGATGGACCACAAATAACACCACGGACACTATTCGGTAAAAGTTGTCCGTGACGTTTGATATTTGTGTCTCGTGATAGGTCAAACTAAATTACAGGCAACTTAATGTCTTGTTGATTGAACTTCATCTTGATGTAGAATGAAATTCTAGCTATAAATTTACATCTTTTATAGGTGTCGAGTTAGTCGTTCTTGAACAATGATAGTGCAAAGACGTATCAAAAAACGAGGTGCTGGTATTGTTAACACACTTATAAACAAATTGCCATTTGAACTTCATATACCAGGATATCATTATTGTGGTCCGGGAACTAAATTGAAGGAGAGATTAACACGTGGAGATCCAGGCATCAATCCATTGGACGCTGCTTGTAAAGATCACGACATTGCTAATTCGCAAAATCGAGATAACATTGAAGCTAGAAACGCAGCTGATAAAATACTTGCTGAAAAATCTTTGAAACGTGTTTTCGCGAGAGACGCAGATATTGCTGAACGAATTGCTGCTTTAGGAATTTCCAACGTCATGAAAGTTAAATCAAAATTGGGAATGGGTTTGAAAGAGAAAAACAAAAATTACAAGCGAGTTAAACATTTGCGAAAAGTTGTTAATTCAGCAAAGATTATGTTAAATTCCAGTTCAGATCCCATTAAATCTGCATTGGCTGCTGCACGAAAGACTGTTCGCGATGCTGGTGGAAGGAAAAAAAATCAAAGTTCCACGTATTATACTAATGCCGCCGAAAGTGGGAGGTATTTCACCTCTTACACCTCTATTTGCAGGTTTAAGTGCAGTTGGTGCTGTAGCACGTGGCGCTGCTGGCATTGCAAAAACAATTAATGATGCTAGAGACGCCAAACGCCAATTAGAAGAAGCTAAACAACATAACGAGAAAATGGAAGCAATAGCTATGGGTAAAGGTCTACGTCTAAAACCGCACAAGAGAGGATTAGGATTGTATTTGAAACCGGTAAAAAAAAAAACTTTTAAATTTACCCCATCGTGCACTGACTGATATTGAACTTCAAAAATATGCAAAAATCATGAAAATACCCTTTTTTCGTGGTGTTTTTATGCGAAGTGATCTTCCAAAATCTTCACCGTGGAAAAATGAATCAGCAATTATTAATCTCGATGATAAGACTGGACCTGGAACTCATTGGGTGGCATATAAAAAACGTGGTAATAAAGTTATATATTATGACAGTTTTGGCAATTTGCAGCCACCACATGAGCTTATAAAATATCTTAATGTTGATAAAATACTGTACAATCATGAAAAATATCAAGATTACAGTACAGATAATTGCGGACACTTGTGTTTAAAATTTTTACGTAGAAAAGTATAAAAGTAATATGCACTTTCCAATAAGCATCAGTCATGGATGATTCACTCACGTTAACATTGTCTGGACAGACGTCTATTCTAGAAGCGTTTTATTTTCCACCAATTGTATTATCATCATCTAAAAAATATACCCTAGGACTTGTGGAATTGTTAACCTTCAATTCCATTCCAAATATTGATAACGGCAATAATAAATTTTATTATACACCCAGTGGTGAAGATAAAAGTATTAAAATACCCACAGGAAACTATGAAATTGGAGACATTGAAAATTATTTGAAGAAAGCTGATACTCAATTATCAATTTCTATTAAGCGCAATAATAATGAACTACACAGTGAAGTTTACAGTGAAAATGCAACAATAAATTTCAAACCGCATGATTCTATTGGTAGTTTGTTGGGCTTTAGTCCACGAGTTATTTTTCCAAAATTGACTCACACATCAGATTTACCAGTATCTATCTTGAAAATGAATGCATTAAGGATTGAATGTAATATTACTACAGGAGCATACATGGATAATTAGTTGGTACATAGGATTCATGAATTTTTCCCATCAGTTCCACCAGGATATAAGATCATTGAAGTTCCATCAAACGTCATTTATCTTTCAATCACCGTACAGACAATACATAATTTACAACTGCGCATTGTTGATCAAGACGGTCAATTGGTTAATTTACGTGGTGAAACTGTAACAATACGTTTACTTTTGAAATCAGTCACGTGATAGGGATTGTTTATAAACCAACAGTAGGGGGAAGCTATAAAACTAACATATCATGTCTGAATCCCATCAGTCATCAAAGAATACTCAAACGATTAACTTATCGAAATCGATTATTCCTACAAAGGTTGGGACTAAAAATACGCAAAGGTGCAAAAAAATTAAAGTGAAAGTATGCTGTCTTGCATGTCTTTTACCATGGAAGAAGAAAAATTAGCAATGAGCAAAGGTGTCATATTTGATGAGTCTATCGCACACATTGAGGTGCATGCTCATCAACCATATGCATCTACAACATATAATAATAATGATGAGATACATATTTCAGTTCAACATCAAGATTTATGTCTGCTGCCAAGCAAAAGTTCCCTTCATATTATGGGGAAATTTACAAAATTTAATGGAAATGCAGTAGCAGCAACATCAAGATTCGTTAATATGGCCGTATGCTATTTATTTGAAGAAATACGATATGAATTGAATGATGTTGAGATTGATCGAAATAAAAATGTTGGTCTTACAAGTCTCATGAAGGGATATCTATCCCTTCATCCAGGTCAAAAAAATTATTTAGATAATGCAGGTTGGGTAACTGATAATGGAAGATTATTCAATGATAATGGATACTTCGATGTTTCGATACCGTTACATATGCTATTCTGATTTGCTGAAGATTATCCTCGCATAATTGTTAAGGCCAAACATGAATTAATACTTACTCGTTTAAATACCGATCTTAATGCAATTGTACAAGCTACAGCGGAACCTGAAGAGACGATCACGCTTATAAAAATTGAATGGATCATTCCTTATGTCACTGTTGCAGACATAAAAAAAGTAGAATTGTTAAGTTACATTGCAAAAGATCCACCGATTCCATTGAGTTTCATATCATGGGAATTATATGAATATCCAATGCTGCCGAACACAACCAAACACGTATGGGTCGTGAAAACATCAACTCAATTGGAAAAGCCCCACTATGTTATATTAGGATTTCAAACTGCACGCAAAAATGATGCTACAATAGATGCAAGTCATTTCGATCATTGTTATTTAAGGGATGTAAACCTTTTCCTCAATTCACAATGCTATCCATATGGGAACATGAATCTTGACATAAGTCACAATCAATTAGCCTTATTATATGATATGTATAGAGATTTGCGAACATCATATTATGATAAAGAAGTAGAACCTCTACTCACGAAAAAAAAAAAATTTATAGATATAGCACCACTCGTTGTAATCGATTGTTCTAAACAAAACGAATCCATAAAATCAGGACCAGTTGATGTTTCATTGGAGTTCGAATTATCGAAAGCTTTTCCTGCTAACACATCAGCCTATTATTTGATCTCACATGATCGAATAATAGAGTATAAACCTTTAAGTGCGCAAATGAGAAAATTAACATAAAATATTGTAAAAAATGTATATATATATATATATATATATATATATTGTAACGTTATTTTTGATAACGCCCCATTGGTAGCTCCAGAAACAATTTATTGAATATTTTGAGGCTAATAATAGCCAATTTAAGGCTCATCTGAGCTATTATACTGATTCTTATAGTCAGAAATTCATACTTTCCAATGCTTTATTAATTATATTTACTTTCCCTACGCCAAAATTATCTTTATTATTTCTATTTAATCATTACTATTTAATTTATGAGTCTTGATTATTATCGAATTAAATTTCTGTATATTTTTGTTGTTAATTTCACATTTGGATTTATTTTATGTTTTATTGGCGTAGAATAGTTAGTTATAAGTTAGGATTATAACATTTAATGCAAACCAAGGCTGATTGATTTAGTTAATAATTAAAAAGTAGTGTGAAAATCTCAATAACCCAAGATGAAAGCAGAGTTGGATCCAGAGAAGATTTGTCAGCAATATGGACGATTGAGAGGAGAGTTGGGAAGCTGTAGTGGAGTAGAGGACCAAAAGTAACGTGTCACCCTGCAGTTTTCCCATGCTGGGAGACGTCCTAGCCCTAAGGGTTGTAGTCACGGGGTTGTTGCCAGTAAAATGGGGACTCCAATAAAAAGATGGAAGTATGGAAGAGGTCGTAGGATTAAGTTTTTGAGTTTAGACATTAAGTTTTAGAGTTTAGAATTAAGTTTTGGTGCACATTAGTTTTAAGTGACCCCTCCATATGAAAATCTGGGAGAAGTCACGTGAAGATAACCACCAATAAGAAGTATTGTAAGACGAATTGAAAGAATTTTGAGTTTGGAGGGAGAAGAAATTGCAAGAATGAAGAAATTAAAGATAGGAGATTTTGAGGATTCAGTTTTTGGAGTGGAGTCGAGAGTTTAGTCGAGAGTTAGTCGAGAGTAAGTCAAGAAGTCGAGTGCAGGCCATGCCTGTGAAGAGATGAGTGTGCCAATTGGAAGAGCAGAGATCCAGAAGGCAGAATGAAGATCAGCAATGAGCTCCATTCCAGTACAAGGAAGTCCAGAACAACCGGGACTAGGTTTGATAAAAGCTAAACATCGAAAGCTCTCTGCAGAAGTTGTAAGTTATTGAGAATTGACTTGAGATGGGTTAAAAGGAAACTTTGTATTTAGTTGAGAATATTTTATTTTATGGAAAAGAAAATCCGTGAGGCTTGGTTTGCTCTCGTACTCGTTTGTTAGGTTTAAGTTTAGTTATGTATTCAGTTAAAGAAGATTGTGATGTAGTTGAGTTAATTTGATTTAAAGATTTGTTTTATTGTTAAGGATTAAGATATTGAGTTATTGAGTTGAGTTAGAATTTATTAAGAAATGATTTTTGTTGAAGAAATATGCTTTAGTTTATGTAGAATGTGTTTGAGCTCCAGAATTGTAACAGGTTAACGTTTGGTTCAGTTTATTTTGAGAATTGTAAAATGTTAAAGTTTCAGTTAGATGATTTTGATTTATAATTATGCTTTGAGCTCCAGTTATTGTTGAGAAAGTTAACAGTATTAAGAATAAATTTAATAATTAAAATATTACGAACTCGTTAGATTATTTGTGGTAGTTTGAAAACCTTCAACCGATTCCGTAGTCAGTCGATTTTATTTGCGTCTTTAGTCCCTTTGTTTTCTCGATTTAATTTGTTCTGTTGGCCGGACACGACCCCTCTCCACAACCTACACAACTGAGGGCCAGGACATGCCCTGTTCAGGAGGATCCTGATTTTTGGTGGGACCATCTTAGTTAAGTTAGATATAAGTTTGAGATTTAGTTTTAAGTATTGAGATTTTGATATAAGTTTGAGATTTAGTTTTAAGTATTGAGATTTCGAGATATTGTGTGGATTTTGAGTTAGTTAGTAAGTTGAGATATTGAGGTTAGATTTAAGTTTGAATTAGTTGTAAGTTATACCAGTTTAGTTGTTCTGGTGAATAAAAATAACTTGGCGCCCTAGGTAAAGTAGTATTAGTCTCCCAGGGATGGTTCTAATCAGGATGCCCACCTGAAGGAAGGTGCGTTATGGAGTGAACCCCTTTTGGGGGTCAAAAAATAACGTTACAATATATATATATATATATACGTGTAAGCGGAAGTTTGGTGACTTTTTTATATGTTAAATCTGATGCAAGAAAAGTATTCTCTGGGGTCACTTGAGTACCTGGAAAGCGTCACTTGAATATAAGCCTGGTAGTTTAGTCAGGAAATCATGATTAGTACTCATGTGGAAATTTGGTGACTGTCACCAAATGTCGAGGACAGTTGGAAAGTATGTGTAAATGAAAAATCATTGATATCTATCAATGAAAGAAACTCTAAAATACAAAAATAAAGTAGATACGATTAGGGAGAAGGAATATCTGTTATGTAAATCGAAAGAGTTATCAATTTTTGTACTTTTTACAATTAATTAAATTGTTTTATTCTCTTTTGATGATTTTTTTTTTGTTATCTTCTATATAAATAAAATTAGAGTGTCTGCCTGTCTGTCCGGGGTAATCTCGGAAACGGCTGAACCGATTTCGATGAAACATTGCAGACATCAACAGGAAAATGTCAGGAGTGACATAGGCTACTTTTTGTTGATGTGAATTGTTTATAACAATTGAATTTGTTATGAACAATTGAAAACGAGATCTGTGAAATAAATTCGAATTTTTTCTATCCATTTTCAATACACATCGATTTACTACTTGTCTTTTAATTCCATAACAAAGCAATACGTATCTGAAATTGAGTCATTCAAACCACAAATTTGCTATTCAAAACTTAGCTTAATCAATTCATTATTATGAGTTGTAAGTATGTCATATTGATCGTTACTGAAAGATTCTTTCTATTAGCTAAATAGTAACATAGTTTCAAATTTTTATATATTTATCTTTATGCTTTATTATTGAAGAATGATTAAATTGATGAGTGGGAGTCTCTCCAATTAGAATACGAGAATTAGCATATTAATTTCGTGTTGCACTTAAAAAACCATATGTGATATTAAAAGTACTGCATAAATAAATATACTGGAGAAAAAAATTTGCTCTTTAGATTGAAGAAATTTCAAATATAGTACAAATGCAATAATTACGACGGGATTACAGGAAAAAAAAAATTGCAGTGACCCAGAATCGAACCTAAATATCCCCGTTTGAATCCAGACTCGCTACGACTTACGCCATTGATTGTTCTGGATATTGGAAATGATGTTTGATATTATAGTTGCGATTGTAGTATGGTGTGATTTATTCTTCCAAAGGATTAAGGCTACTGTTCCAATGTATTTATTTGCGATTCAGCATGTAAATTTATTTATTATTAGTAGTACATTTTTTTTTTTTTGTCATCATCATGTTTCATTTTTTTTTAAATAAAAGCATGAAACTCAAATTAGTCTATTGTTTCGTCCTATAATATTAAGTGTTGCATAAACTAGTCAATTACTTACAATTTCTAAAATCAAGTAAAATTTTATCTATATACTACTATATAAATTTCTGGTGTCTGTCTGTCTATCTGTCTGTCTATCCGCGCTAATCTCCAAAACGGCTAATTAAATTTGTTATAAACAATTGAAAACGGGTTCTATACAACATATTTGAGTTATTTCAACGCGTAATTTTTTCTTTTGCTAAAATAAAGTTACAAACCATGTACAATGCATAAAAGTGTACTGTTTTTGTTTTTAACGATTGAATTTGTTATAAACAATGGAAAACGGGATCTATTTAATGTATTTGAACTCTTCCAACGGAAAATTTTTTTTTTTGCTGAAATTAAGTTACAAACCATGTAAAATGTATGTTAGCATACTCCTTTTGTTTATAACAATTGAATTCGTTTTAAAAAATGAGAAATGGGTTCTATTCAATTTATTTGAGCTCTTTCAACGGAAAAGTTTTTCTTACACTAGAATAAAGTTACTAACCGTGTCTAACGAATGGGAACCTATTTCCTTCGTTACTACTTACCTAATTCGTTATAAACAATTGATAATGGAATCTATGCATCGTGTTCAAGTTTATTTAACGAAAAATTTTTTCCTCTACTGAATCAACGTTGCTCACTGTGTAAAATGAATGTAAACCGACTTCTATTGATTGTAATATATAATTTGTTGCAAAGGAACTGGAATAAAGTCTTACGATAGAATTCGCATTATTACCTTTTATTATGAATACTCACGCATATGTTATTTTTTTAATTAATCCTATCACACAGCAATAGGTTTTTGGAATCGGCTTATTCGCAGACGAAGTCGCGGGAATCTGCTAGTTTGATATAAAAGTCATGGTGACATCACGAATAGTATTAATATGGAAGTTTGGTAACTGTCACCAAACCTCGACAACAGTTGGATTGCATGTATAGATAGAAAAGTATTGAAAACTTTTGACAAAAAATACATAAAACTTAAGAATATTCAAATATCCAACTTCTCTGTAGAATACTCGTCTAGTCAAAATGATACTATCTTGAATTTCTCATTATCTGAATCACTTATAATCATATATTAAATCACTAATGGTTTCTAAAATAAATAAAATATCATCTGTCAAAAAGCCATGGTAACATCACAAATCTCATTGATATGGAAGCCCAGTGACTGTCACCAAACCTCGAGATCAGTTGGCAAGTGTGTATAAATTTATGAATAAATACAATAAAATTACTAAATGAAAGTCAGCTATACGAGGAATTTAAAGAATTTGACGTGCACTAAGATACAACAGATTAAGTTCAATCATCTAATAGGAGTTGAAACAATTTATTATGAGAATACACCTATGTAGCATAGGAACTACCTAAAATTGTTATAAATTTTGTGGTTGGCTTTAAATAATGTCTTATTGAAATATCATATTTTTCACTATTTCTATAAGACATTATTTTATTGAACTTTTTTCTATTTCAGAAAAATGGAAAACTGGCTTGGCAAAGTAATAAAAAAGCAGAAAATACACGTATGTAGCATAGAAACTACCTAAAATTGTTATAAATTTTGTGGTTGGCTTTAAATAATGTCTTATTGAAATATCATATTTTTCACTATTTTCATAAGACATTATTTTATTGAACTTTTTTCTATTTCAGAAAAATGGAAAACTGGCTTGGCAAAGTAATAAAAAAGCAGAAAATACACCTATGTAGCATAGAAACTACCTAAAATTGTTATAAATTTTGTGGTTGGCTTTAAATAATGTCTTATTGAAATATCATATTTTTCACTATTTTCATAAGACATTATTTTGTTGAACTTTTTTCTATTCCAGAAAAATAAAAAACTGGCTTGGCAGAATAATAAAAGAGCAGAAAATACACCTATGTAGCATACGAAATACCTCAAATTGTTATAAATTTTTAAATTTTCGAAATAAATCAATATAAAAATTAAATAATTTGCAACGTCGTTGTCTTGAGACAGCGCGCGTTGTTTTCTAGTAACCTTATTGAAAAAAAAAATTAATTTGGAAGAAGAAAATTTTTTTGGAAGTTTGGTGACTGTCTCAAAAATTCCAATTCGTCACTAAACTTCCACTTCGATCGCACGAAATGTTACCGAATTTCCACTTGCACGTTTATATACTACTATATAAATTTCTGGTGTCTATCTGTCTGTTCCGGGTAATCTCCAAAACGGTTAATTCGATTGCGACTAAAGGATCTATGCATGATATTCGAGTTCTTCCAACGCGTAATTTTTTCTTTTGCTTAAATGAAGTTACAAACCATGTAAAATATATGGAAACCTACTCCCTTTGTTTGTCACAATTGAATTTGTTATAAACAATAGAAAACAGGATCTATGCATGATATTTGAGTCCTTTCAACGCGTAATTTTTTCTTTTACTGGAACAATTTTATTTACTGTGTAAAATGAATATGAACATACTTTTTTTGTTCGTAACATATCATTTGTTGTAAAAGAACAGAAATTGAGTTTTACGATCATTTCCTTTCATCATCAGTAAGAGTGCTCCTGTAACTGGAGGAGTTGAGTTATCACATCGCTACCGGCCTGGAACTATCGTATGTCGAGAAATTCGTCGTTATCCGAAGAGTACTGATTTACTCATCCGTAAATTGCCATTCCAACGGCTTGTTCATGAACTCGCTCAGGACTTCAAAACGGACTCGAGATTCCAGAGCGCAGCTGTGATAGCTCTTCAAGAAGCCAGCGAGGCATACCTCGTTGGTCTTTTTGAAGATACCAACTTGTGTGATATGCACGCAAAACGGGTGACCATCATGCCCAAGGCCATTTAACTTGCTCGTCGTATTCGAGAAAAGCGAACTTAAACTCCTCCAATGACCAAGTTTTTGTGAGAGATCTATGTTTTTCATCAAATTTCGATATTGCCTCAATTATTCCGCTTCTTCCAGATTCTTAAGGAACAGAACTTAATATATTATATGGTGTCAGACCGTATATGCGACATTTATCATGTTTTTTCGTGATTTTACTCTTTTTATAGATTATAAAATTATTTTGGAAGTTTAGTGACTGTCACCAAAATTCCAATTCGTCACCAAACTGTAATATATAAAGTTTGTTTGTTAATATATAGGTATATATAAAGTTTGTTTCTTAATTTATATTTTATATTGTTAAATTAAAATAAAATAAATAATAAAGAGTCAAGATTAATTAGATCACAAACACATGAGTGTAACTTATTTCAGCTTATTACTAATTACAAGGAATACCATTTTATCCATGTTTTTTTATTCAAATTGAATTTATTCGTAAATATTGTTGAAGATACGATAATTCCAGGGAGAAATACGATAATTTTACGGCCCTGGTACGATGAGCGCCCTCTCTCAAAATCCTAACACTAGAAACAGAGGAAGAGGATCAAGAGGGAGACCTAGCGGGGTTAAACGCTATTGAGAACCGGTCCAGGAATCGATAACACCAAAAGGCGTAAAGACTCTAAGCAGCAGACCAGTCAGAACCCGAGAAAGTCGCTCGAGAGGAAACGACCTTTAACATGTTTCCTATGCGCCCAGCAAGGGCATACAGTATTTGAATGTGAGAACGGAAGGGTCGACTATTGTACTCGCTGTTGGAAAATCGAGGTCACAAAACATAATTGCCCCTGTGCTCAGCAGAACAGCACTCCGAAAAACGAGTAGTCGGCTGTGTGAAGTTGGCGGCCAAAGCAGGGAAAAAATATTTTTAAAAATAGCAAATTATAGCAAAAAATGCGTACATTATTGTACCCTAACTATTTTTTTTTGTACCTTTTTTGTTCGGAAAATATTCCGAAAAAACATGTTTTTTTGAAAAAAAGAGCATTTTTTCAAAATTTTTTTGGCAATAAAAAAGTGCGAACGATTGTACCCTTAAAAAACTTAATTGTACCGTTAGAAAAATTCCAGAATAATTGACCAAGCGGTACATGATTAACAGAGAACAAGTTAACTGCATCGAAACTACGTGTCTATTGAAGAATTCCGGATACATTGACCCGTTAATGACAGAAAGTAGGAAGAATATAGTTGTACCATATCTACGCACATGGAAGAATATTGTACTGTGTCTAAACAGTTTATTAACTGTTGACAATTGATTGTTTACTAAAAAGTATGTACATAACGCCTTTCGCTTACACATCTACTAACAAAATTAAACATTGTACCTACTCTAAATAGCACGTACAAACATAAATTGTCATTAAAACAGCTCTATTACGCTTAAATAACGGAAGAAAAAACTAATGTTAGCACCTTTTTTAAATGAATGTGAACGATGGGAATTTCTTCTATCTACAAACAGTAACCAATCTTGTACTATTATGAATATACTGGCAGGAACAGTCGTACTCATGAACATAGCCCGTAGGTGTTTAATATCGTGGTGTTTTGTCTTCAAACACTAAGATTTACAGTGCTGACATTCGTTTCTTGGAGTTCGAATAGATGTGAGAATCGTACTGATGATGATACTTTTAATTTTTAAATTATCAAAGTTTATCCTTTGATACTTCAATCGATCTGAAAATTGGAAAAAAATTTCTGTTATTCAGTAGCTTTAAGTATTCACTCTTATCGGCAGCTTTACGGCTGCCTTAACTATTTTAGTCATAAAACTCTGACCCAATATTTCTTTTTTTCATCTGCACATTCGTTATTAATTCAATTGTAAGTAAGAAGTTTATGTTTATTATTGATGAGTTTCCGTTGATACTTTATATATTTCTCAACTGGATGTCATATTTTCTGTATTTCTACGCTGTTCTAAGAGTGTTGTAGCACTTTCTCGAATTCTTCTTATGTCATAGCGATAATGCACATAGAGTCGAATTCAATACTATTTTCAACTTCCTAGTGGGAAGTTTTTGTAATCAGTCCGATTATGATCATCTTGAATTCTGACATTTCTCGACGTTTCAAGGTCATTGAAGCATTACGTATGTTTTTAAGAGGCGATCCGTGTGTGCATATGTACGTGTCTACGTATGTACGTATGTTTATAGCAATTGAATTTGTTATAAACAATCAATAATCGATTCTATGCAGAAGATTTAAGTTTTTTCTATCGCAAAATTATCTTTTAGAAAGAAGTAAAGTTACAAATTATACATTGTGGACTGAAACCAACTCTCTTTGTTTATAACGATTGTATGTTTAATTATTAATCTTTTATTCTTTCCACCGGAAAGTTCGTCGTATAGCCCATCGGGGTCATACTCAGACCACTTTTTAGTATGTTATTTGTGTTTTCAAATGTTTTCATAATCCCACGTGTGCTATTTAAAATCAAATCAAAATGAAACCTCAATGAATGTTTAATACTTTTGAATTTATATTCATTAAGTTTATTTAATTCTATGTTGTTAACAAAAAAATTGTTAGTGTCAGTAAAAGCTAATATTATATTACGCTTTGTTTTGTTTTGAATCAAAAGCAATGTTCACATTGAAGATATATTTTTACGCTTATGTCGGTCAAAGAAGTATTATCTATGTCGATTGTATTTATACTATATAAAATCTATTTTATTTTACTGTACAATATATGATAATTCTAATTCACTCCAATTTTAAAGTTTCCGCCTAACTGCTGATGCAGTGGACAGCCGTAAAGCGTCACTAGCTGTTGATTTCTAGCATCCCTAAACGTATAATCCGGTACAACAGGGCAAATGATGTTATTTTTCTTTACTGTTTACCATCGAAACTACTGATTCTACTGATTTTGTGTAACAACCATCATAATTATCGATTACTTTCATCATTCAATCAATGATAGTAGCCATCTAAAACGTTTTCTATCCTATTTTTCGTTATTATTTGTTCAGGTAGTGAATTTAATCTATTTCTGAGCATCATGCCATTAAAAGTTGCATTGCATCACAATGAAATTTATGAAAACTTGAAACACTTCAACTTCGTGATCGAGAAAGAGGAATTCTATTCTAGAGAACATCCAATGTGGGAACAATCATCTCTTGCATTAAATAAACGACTAATGCCCTTAACTATTTATACGATAATCACCAATGATCGTCACGACTTATGTTATCGGCTTCATGGCATTCGTGCATCGTGTTTAAAAAAAAATTAGTTAGAGGAATTGTTTACAAGGTGAGATGAATTAATGGGATTAGTGATGTTTTTATTTATATCAAGCTGTAACCGATTTAGGAAATATTACCTTGCTTATTTTTTAGTTTATGTCTAAGAAGCATGGCACCAATTTATTGAGTTGTTGGATTGGAAGAGTGGCTGAATCATGGTACTAAAAAGCCTAAATAAGTCATCGTCAATTACTCCTTGGCATTAACAAATGGATATTATCTTGGATTGGAAAATTTTTTTTATGCATTCAATAATTGAAGTTATTTAAATTTTGTATGCTCACCTCTTGTAGAAAAGAAGTTTAAATAATTATATAATGAAGAATTATAAAAAAAACTTAATTATTTAGCATAGTATTGAACTATACTTTGGCTAAATTTAAAAAACATGCTTATACAAATATATGTACATATAGAAATCGATATTTTTTCTTTTCATATAAGAATTGATTATCGAGACATACTCAGTACCAAAAGCGCGCAGTAAAGCGATAAAAATCTAAATGTATTACTTATAAAGAAATAACTCTCCTTACTAAGTTTTGATAGTACAATGTCACTTTTTGTTAGTAGAAATAAGTGAACTTGATAGAAACTTTAAACCTGCCTTTTTAAGTTGTGTAATAGAGAATGAGTCATTAAAAAAGTGAAAAAGCTACCGTAATGATTCTGCCCGAGATGCTGTTTGCATTATTTGATTGTACAAAGTAAGTTTTTATTAGTAAAAATTAATAAACTTGATACAAACGCAATGATGAGGAATCAAATATTAGTTATTTGAAAGGTAAAAATCTAGCGCAAAAAGTCTACCTGCAATGCTGTTTGTACCAGCTTTTTTTCGATAGTATAAGATTAGCTTTCGTTAGTTGGAGTGTTAGTTTGATACAAACTCAATACCTGCCGTTGAATGACGAGCAGTCAGATATTAGGCTTTAGGGAAGAAAAAGCTAAATTGATTATTCTATTCTAAACGCTGTTTATACGAGCTTCTTTCTGATAAAAGAATGTTGGTTATCGTTAATAGAAGTAAGTGAACTTGATACAAATTTTGAACCTACTTTAATATGACGTGCAACTGAACATTAGTCATCAGTAGAGTAAAAAGCGATATTGATGATTCAGCTTGAAATACTGTTTGTACTAGCTTTTTTTTTATAGTACAAAGTTAGTTTTTGTGAGTAGATTGTATCAGACTTGGAACAAACGATGTACTTGTTTGTATATAAGATAAAGCTTAACATTTCTCATTAAAGTAATAAAAAGTGAAATGAATAATTTACAGAGAAAAAGCTGTTTGTACTTGCTTTTGTCTTATGGTACAATGTTGTTTTTTGTTAGTAGAAGTAAGTCAATTTGATGTTAATGTAATATTTATATATACATGACGAACAATCAAATGTTAGTTATTTAAAGAGTATAAAACTTAATTCATGATTAAGCTCGAAATGTTGTTTGTATTCGCTATTTTTGATAGTATAATGTCAGTTTCGGTTAGTAAAAAAGCGTGGGATCGATACAAACTTTGTACTTGCCTTTATATGACAAGCAATCAAATGTTATTGATTGGAGGAGTAGAAAGCTGAATTAATTATTTCATCCAAAACGCGGTGTATACCGGGTTTTTTATGACGATACAATATTTATTTTCGTTAGTAGATGTTATAAAACTGAACATAGATTATGTAGTAGTTCTGATATTAATCCATGGCGGGTTGCTGGGTTTTTTTTTCTCTTTTATATATTTGTTTAATTGTATAGATTTAATGAGGAAATTTTCACGGTACAATCAAGTTTGTCTGGGGTACAATCACTTGCATCTTTTTATTTTAAAAAAATTTTTTAATTATTTAATTTAATTTCGTAAGAGGGACGGCGGAGCACACTAAGCCACTGTATGAATATAAGTACAAATAGTAAGAAAACAAAAACGAATGAAACAAAAAGTAAAAAAAAAAAAAAATTAATTGGAGTTTAAAAAAACATGACTTTCTAAAAATAAAATATTTTTTCGAAAATTTTTTTCTTACAAAATGGTGCAAATGATTGTACCCTAGACGATCTCGATTTGACCGCAAAAAAATTTTAATATAATCAATCGATTGTTATGATTGACGAAAACCAAAATAGTGCATCACACACACGTTTCTATGGATCAATTACAAATACATTGGCCAGAAAAGAAAAAAAAGGATGTGAATCTAGTTTTGTCTTATCTACTAACAGAAACTAATATTTTTGAACATTCATGATTATTTATCAAAACAGCACGATTGGAATTTTATTCTGAAAATATATTATTGTTATTGTTATCATTGTCTATCTATTATTTTGTATTAAAGCTTCGGACCAGTGGATAATTACTTCTGGTCACACAAACCGTGAATCTAACGAGTAAGTAATGACAATATAAAGTAAATCAATGCCGTAAACAGCTGGAAGGAAATCTTACCCATACGGAAAACATATATTTTGAAAATTGAATCAAAAATATTTTTGGTCATGAAAATACATAGAAATATGTTTATTTAGTCAAATTTTATATCAATGACTATATAAATACGTAAACAGTACATCACATGAAATAGTAAGTAGTTTTTTCAAATATTTTACTTCATTACAGTTATAATTACAAGTCAAGAACACAACTTCTAAATTATATTAATCGTCTGGTACATAAAAAATAATATTAATATATTGACTTAAATTCGTTTCTTTTTTGGTCAATTTTTTCGGACGTGACAGATTGTTAATTCCATCATACTTTTCCCATTTTCGAGAATGATTAAAAATGTAACAAATGTAATGTTTATTATTACAATAATGGCTAGAAACAATAACACCTACTAACATGTATTTCTTATTGCCTATTAAAATACTTGACGGAATATCTGTTAATTTTAATAGTTTATGTGTAGTAGTGCGTTGTAAGCCATCATCATCGTCTTTGTAAGACTCAGTCTTAACATTAATAAATATATGTCTTTTAGGAGTTATTGACGTTGTTGCTGAATTGTTACATTTAATACACAGACATGATTTCGATGTAAAGTATTGATCTACATAATTTTGAATTTTAGCGACATCAAAATTAGCGTTCAGTGGAGAGTTTTCTATAACGATTGTTTTATTACTCGACTTACAGTTACAATGATTACAAAATACGTTTTGGATTGCAGAAGGTTCCTCGTTTAGAGCAATCGTTAAGGTACGTATAATATCCAAGTCAAAATTTAAAGTGTTTTCTCTTTCCCGTGAAAAACGAGTTCAGATCTGATCAGATCTGATTTTTTCCGTTAAATTTTCAGATATGAACAGTCTCATAATACTGATCTGATCAGATCTGAATTCTGAATCCATTTTTCTGATGACTTCAGACTATTTCCGATCTGCTCAGACATGAACTGATCTGTTTATATTTGAAAAAGAATATAATTCAGATATAAACAGATCAGTTCATGTCTGAGCAGATCGGAAATAGTCTGAAGTCATCAGAAAAATGGATTCAGAATTCAGATCTGATCAGATCAGGATTATGAGATTATCATATATGTATATATATGTCCAGATCTGCTCCAATCTGAACATGCATTTTGAAGGTAAGAAATGAATATAAAATTAATGACGTAAGGAATATGTTGTTTTGTATTTGTGATTAAAGTTATTTATTGAAGTGGATTTTAAATTTTCTTTCTCATACAGATTTAAATTTTAAAAAAAATAATAATATCATAATCATAATTTTTAAGTTATCAACGAAGCTGTCACTGGTTTCTATTTCCATCTTTCTCGCGCCTTCCTTTTACTTTCATTTCGTACAACTTTTGGCTTATTGTCTCATGAATACTTTTGGTTGATATAAACATTTTATTTGGCCGAGCTTTCTTGTACAATGAAGTTGCTTTACCTGTAATATTTATGTGTATTTTATGAATCTGGATAGCAGAGAATAACATTAATAATTATTCAAAATAATATAAGGTAAAAAACTTACTGATAATTGCTGCTACGGCTAGAGGGTGAAGCATTTCACACTCATCCTCGTTTTGCCTTTTATTTCTTCCAGGATTACCTGTTAAAGTACAGTTGAGAACTTCACTTTGAATAAATACACCGTCCATTAAACGGCGAATAAGATGGGTCGGCTTTGTGGACTTTGTTTTTTTGGCATTATCATAAATTTTCCTATTGATGTAAATTCCATCTTTTACTTCGCGCATCTAAAAAAATATAATTTGTGAGAATCATCAAGAAAAGAAAATTTAAATTGTATAGAAATAATACAAAAATGTACCAAAGGTACCAACTAAGAATACTCACTCCAGGGTCGTCTTTTTTATGTATCTGATAGTTAAGATGATCCCAATTTTCTTCGTCACTGTCATCGACGTCTTCCTGATTGTCATCTTCATCATTATTCCCATTGCTATTTTCTTCATTGTTATCTGCATCATTACTTTCGTGATCTTCTTCTTCATTTTTATCCACATCATCACTCTTATGGCCATCTTTTTCATTGTTATCTGCATCATCACATTCGTGAGCATCTTTTTCATTCTCATCTGCATTATCGCTATCGTGATCACCTTCGTCATTTTTTCCTGCATCATCATTTACTTTGTCATCATCATTCTTATCTACATCACCATTATCTTCGGAATCTAACTCATATACATCATCTCCTTTATTTGTCACATTTTTATTAAGATTACTTTTCTCTTTCTGCATGTTAGAATATTCGCTTTTATTCTGTTTTTCGTCATTGATGTTTACTTTTCCAATACTTTTTTTTTCAGCTTTATTTTTGTTATTATTTGCAGGCTTATTATTTTTAGGATTTGTCATATTCTGGTTAAGTTTCTTCAATTCTAATAAACTTTCATTCCTAGTATGAAGATGTTTCTGAAAAAAACCCATGATTGAAATTTATTTCATTTGCAACAGAGTACTAGGATATGAATAATTTACATACACTAGAGTAATTGATAATGTACTGAGTATTTACCTGCTTCACAAATGGTGATGCATCACTATCTTCACTTACTGACGCCAACGATAAGTTTCTATCTGTTATATTTGACAAAGTAGTGATGTTAGAACTGTGTTTGTTTTCTTCTAATGTCATCAGTGATTCCTTCTTTTTTATTAAACTTTGTACTTGATTTCGAGAAAGGACGTTTTCCTTTTCTGGTTTCTTCGATACTTTGTTTTTGTTTAAAACCTAAAAAAACGGTCCCACTCGCTTAACATCATTATGTATATAATAATAAAAAAGTAAAAATGTAATAAACTCTATGTACTTACATTAGCTTTGGGTTTCTTTGGCTTAAGATGGAATGTCTCCGGAGAATAGGGTAATGGTCTAACCCGTTTCCTTTTTACTTCCTTATTTTCATTATTCAACTCCTTTAGATATTCATCAATCTTACTTTCATCTTTTCACACAATAAAATAAAAAAAATAATTACATTCTTGAAGACTTATATGAAAGAATCATTATACGTAATATTTATAAATTGTAAGCATGATAAATTTCTTCATATTACCTGCAATCATCAACACTTCACCGTCTAATTGTTTTCCCTTCTGCATGTATGGCACAATATCACCAATATTAATATTATCAGTCTCATCTTTGACAATATCACTATCTTGCACTTTATGGTTATTATTATTTACCTTACACTTTAATAGATACATATTTAAATAAATTAAATTTAAAGAAAATAGAATTTGACGATCTTAGAATTACATTACTTCTAATAAATTGCGGAATTCTATACATTTGTGCGTATCATTGTAGAAATGACGCCATGTAGTTATTGTAACCGTTAGTATTTCACTACCACGTGGTAACGGCCGCCTTCTCATGAAACAGTAAGCATGCGCGTCAACTCTTGACGCATTTTCATGCATGCGGCAAATTTTAAATCATATAATAAAGCTAGATTCTGATGCTGAATTGACATAAAAATAATTATTAATAAATAATATTAAGTTCGTGCAAAAAAAAAGATTCTCTTATTGTATCTAAATATTTTTTCCAATTACTACAAAATAATTTTTCTTTATTAATTATATTATCATCCCAGCATCGAACAAAGTTTGATAGGCTTCCATCTACCATGATCCAAAGCGAGTGGAGGGTGGAGTTGTCCAGTTAGCTTGTTGGCTATACATATAATATAATAAGTTAGTATGTCTATGAGCTTTCTGGGCAAAAGTAGCATTCATTATTGTATATCCGTAAACTTTGTTCATCAACAATCTGTTCTGATTTTTATATATGTGTAATAAGTGTTCGTTAATAAAAATATTTTTTGTTCTTTGGTAAGTAAAAATAGTTACAATACGATTTTTTTTATTATATAAAAATGATGATTGAATAAGTTATTACGCTAAGTAATTCTTAGGCTTAAGTACTGCCCATAGACGATTTTATTCATGTATTACATTCTTATAATTATTTTTAACCATTCAGCGTAATAATTTTTTTTCAACAAAAGCTATCAAATAATTTTTTTGTTATTAGAATACTATTAGATTATAATAAATTTTATATTTACCCTTCAGACCTTACGCTATGAGCATTTTGCTCACTCTTTATTTCTTATTAGTTTACTTTTAATTTTTAAATAGAATGATTATATGAAATTTGTTTTAGCTTTAAGAAATTTGATTATCTTTACTATTACAATTCAAAAATTTTTATTAAACAATTATTTTGTCAAAGCTGTGAGCATTGCTCATCATCAGAGAAAACAGACTTGCATAGAAGTTCAATGCTGGGTTTTGTTTAGGGATCATCCAAGGTCATCCCAACCGTGCAAACTCCTACCTGGCTCTATAAGAATACATACTAAATTTCCGGGACACATAGGCCTATTTAAACTAAACTTCCATTCACGTCTCTCTTCTCTGTCATCACGTAAGAAAAGTAAATTGAAGAAATTAGTCATTCGGCTAAGTTCGGCTCTAACGAGTATTCCCGAGTGTCGCAAGCGGCGCCGGCCGCCGTATAATTTTGAAAGTTTCTTTTTTTAATTAATGTCAATTAAACAAAACGGCATGCGTACAACCCGTGAGTAATTCGCTTATCACGACAGTATTTTTTGCGGTTTGATGAGCGTAAGATCTGAAGGGTTAAAAGCAATGGACAATCTTCTGTAAACTAAGAAATTACTTTTTATTTTTAGTGTTTTATCAATTGCCGTTTAGAAGATAATGTCATCTGATAATAGAGAAATTGTTGAAGAAATTCCGGTTCCATCTGCCGAAAAGGAACGACGTAAAATATGGCAAGACAATCCGAACTCACAGGTAAGAATATCTATCTGTTACGCGTAGATGTCCTTTACAGGTCCATTTTAATAAATATATGAAATATATATTTTTAAATAAATCTATGTATTTGATGAAGTACAAATATATTTATTATAATTTCTTAGATATGAATTCATTATGTATGATGCTGGTTACGGATCATGAACCGACGTGCAGCAAGCTCGAGTATACGTGTGAATGCTATTATGTACAAATTCTTATCTCAGAAATTATAAGATAAATAAATATTCAGGGATACATATATATGCATATGAAATATTATTTTTAAATTATAATCTCATGCAAGTCGTCAGAATGTAGTATTTTTTATTAAAAAAAAAACAGTATAAATAAATTCAAATACAATAGCATTTATAGTTATTTTTGAAACAATTCTTTTAAAAGTTGTTTTTACAATTTTAAACTTTGTCATTTAAAAGATGAAATGATAAGAATTTTTTGGTTTATTTAGGTTCCTCGAAGCACGTATTATCGATGGAAAAGTATACAAAGACGCTGTAACTTAGATGAAGATAGCAGTTCTGAAACATCAGAACCTGATAGTGACGTTAACTCCTCCATTCAGGGAGAAAATGATTCTTTCGATGTTAGTAACTCGACTATTAGTGAATCTAGTACAGACAATGAAGAAGATGGCGAAAAAGATCATGAAGAGGATAGTGAAGAAGATAATGACAATCTTGACGAAAGAGATTTGGTGGCTGAATCTGATGATGAACAAATAATCGAAGATAGCGATGATGAGCACAATAGTACAAATAGTTATGAAGTTGACAGTAACAGCTCGATAGCTAGCATGGTCAATGCACTGTATGATGGTAGTGACATTAGCTTGACTCGAAGCATATTACTCCTCATGAACTTATATATTCAAAATAAACTAACGAAAACTAGTCTTCAAGCTTTATTGATATATATACAAGAAATTCTTCCAAAACCTAACAATATGCCAAAGACATTGCATAATTTATTTAAATTTATTGAGAATGAAGCCCATTCTGCTCGTATCATTAAATATTATTATTGTAAGAAGTGTTTATTCTATAATAATACGAACCCTGTTTTAACAAAGTGTCCATCTTGTTCAAGTACTGAAGGAACATCTTTTTTTTTTGAGATAGACTTAGTTGAACAAATAAAGTATTTGTTTGAAGAAAGGAATCTAGCAAATAAACTTCATGTTTCTAACCATGAACCCAATGTTATAACTGATATCACTGATGGATCAGAATATAAAAGAGTCAATTCACATCAGAAAAGGGGTAAATTTGATTTAACATTGATTCTCAATACTGATGGAATTTCTATTGTGAAAAGTTCTAAAAGTAACTGTTGGCCATTGATGTTCATGATAGCAGAACTTCCAGAACATCTTCGAGAAAGTTTTATTTGCATCATAGGGATATGGTATGACTCCACTAAAAAACCTTTAATGAATACATTCCTCCAACCATTTTGTGAGAAGCTTATTACGTGTTTTTATGACGGCATTACTTGGGTTGATCCTGCGACAAAAGAGACTTGTACGACAAGAATTACTGCTCCTTTATTCATAGCCGATGCACCAGCTAGGGCTGAGATTCAAAACATTCAGTATTTCACTGGAAAATATGGGTGCAATATATGTGAAATAAAAATGAAACGTTGTCAAGTACCTGAAGGGAAAAAAAGAATCCGAGCATATATTTTTAGCGAGAAAGTCAGTAGATTAAGGAGTGATGATCGAATGACGAAACAAGCTGAAATAGCTTTCAAAGATAATCTCCCACATAAAAGAGGCGTTAAAGGAATATCAATTGTTTCTGCTATTCCTCTTCTTAAATTAGAAACATGTGTGCTACCTGAATACATGCATTCGGTTCTCCTTGGCGTTGGAAAACAATTTATTAATTTATGGTTTCACAAAAAAGGCGTTTGGAACATAAAACAGTTTGTCTCAGAAATAGATGACAAATTGAAAGACATTCATCCACCATATTTTTTCAATAGAATGCCACGTAGTCTGAAATATCTCCCATTTTATAAAGCATCAGAATTCTATAATGTAGTATTGTTTTACTCTATTCCGATTTTTTTTCAATATCTGCCTGATCTTTATTTTCAACATTGGTTATTGTTTGTGGTGGCTATATTTTCGTTATTAGAAAAACCTATTTATATTGACTCAGAATTGAAGCGAGCTGAAATTTTATTACAACTATTTGTCAGAGACATTAAAGAATTATATCGTGATCGACAATACACATATAATGTGCATCAATTGCTACATTTAACACTATGTATTGAGCGTTGGGGTCCATTATGGAGCACGTCAGCGTTTCCATTCGAGAATGTTAACGGTATGCTTGCAAAATGTGTACACGGCACTAAAAATCTCGGTCAAGAAATGGCAAATAATTTGAAAATAGCACAAGGTGTACAATCATTAAAAATAACATGCGCAAGTAAGAATAATACTGTAGACTTTTTTTCCAATCAATCTCAGAAACCTGAATTGAAAGACAATATAAATATAACGGAATGTAATGATTACAGATTAATTGAGATTGTGAAGACTCTAAATTTTAATATTGATAACACGCATTTTTTTGCGAGAGCAATAATAAATAATCGTGCATATTCGTCAACAACTTATAAAAAAACGCAAACAAATAGCTATACCGTTAAAATAAATCTGAATGATAAGATGGTTTATGGGGAAATTGTAGTTTTTACCAAAATCGAAGAAAAATTAGGCTATATAGTAAGAACTTTTGATGTAGATTATACGAAAAGATTTTGTCATCGTGAGAGTAATACAATTGTTCAACATATATTACCAATTATAGAAACGAATAATTTTATAAAAATTGATGCAGAGAATGTTGAATGTATAGTTCATGTAATAAGAGTATTAGATTTCATTTGTGAGCGTCCAAACAATTTAAACAAAGTAATGTGAAAATTAAATGTAAATATGGTGTAAGATATTTTATAATAACATTTTATTTCTATAAAAATAAAGCAACTTATATTCAATAAAAAAAGTAGTTATGATTTCAAGAGTATGTATTTTTTATCGAAATTTTTGCACCTACTTAAATTTATTTAGAGCAGGTGAGATATAATCAGAACTGATTTTGAAAATAACAAAAATAATAAACTTTTTTTTTAAATATGATCAGATTGGTTAAGATCTAATTTTTCACTCAGTTGAAATGATAAACTTTTTTTCAAATATGATCCAATCTGATCAGACCTGATTTTTGACTTAATAAAAATGATAAACTTTTTTTCAAATATGATCCAATCTGATCAGACCTGATTTTTGACTTAATAAAAATGATAAACTTTTTTTCAAATATGATCCAATCTGATCAGACCTGATTTTTGACTTAATAAAAATGATAAACTTTTTTTCAAATATGATCCAATCTGATCAGACCTGATTTTTGACTTAATAAAAATGATAAACTTTTTTTCAAATATGATCCAATCTGATCAGATCTGATTTTTGACTTAATAAAAATAATAAATTTTTTTTCAAATATGATCCAATCTGATCAGATCTGATTTTTGACTTAATAAAAATGATAAACTTTTTTCAGTTCCGATCAGATTCAAACAGATCTGAATCTCCTTAATCTGTTTGCATCTGAATATATATGTCATGTCTATTCAGATCTGAAACGATCTGAAATTCTAATCTGATGATATCTGTACCATCTGATCAGATCTGTACAGTCTCATAATACTGATCTGATCAGATATGGCCATATCTGAACTCGTTTTTCACGGGTTCTATTGTACATCCATATAATTCTAATAATATTTCAGCCCGGTTTCTATAAATATCTTTAGTATTACCATTTACCGAATAATCAACAATTAATTGCAAAATACTATGTTTCGATGCTGATATGTATTCATTATAGTTAACAATAGATGTAAATCCTGCATAAATACAATGAAACATCGAATCAAATGCTGATGTTCTCATAATTTTTATAAGTCCTCGAGATGTTTTTTGTAAACCTTGGCTACTACCATTAATAAGTAAGCCTAATGAATATTTTGGTAACTGCGCTCGTTTCAAAATACTTTTAATATTAGGATTTGTCCTTAAATATTTTCCAGATTGACGATTATTATTTACTAATCCTTTCCAATTTTCTGTTTCATTTAAAAACTTAAATTCATTATCTGCGTCATTCTCGTCTTTCAATTCACAGTGATTTTCATTTTTATTCTTTTTATATAGTTGAATATTGTGTTGTTTCGCATAAGCTGCAGAGGGGAGCTCTATGTCTAAAGATGAATGAGAAGTATCGCTGAAGTATGAAGATTTGCTTGGTTTAGCATTATTATTAGAAAATTCAATTGTAGAACATTTAATATCACATCGTCCATTATAATTAAATTTTCTATCTATCACAGATTTTTCGTAGGTAGCTTTATTTTCACGATTTGAATTGTCAACTGTGACCAATATATCATGATAATCATTTGCCAAAGCAATACTTTCAGTTAATGATTCATCACTAGTTATAGTCATATTCTGCAGTTTCGTTTCCCGATTATTCTCAGTAAATTTAGTTTTCAATAACATTGGCTTCTTAGCAACTAGTATTTTCAAATCACCACTTAAAGATCTTACATGTGTGATAAAAAATTTATCAACTCTAATATTTCGTTTCCGATTGAGAACAAGAACTTTTAAATCTTTGAAGTATTGTTCACTACGGGCCGAACTAGCAGTATATAAACGATCAAGTATTTTTTTGGACGATTTAATGGTCATTTCCTTCAAAAAGTTATAATACACACTTGGCATCAAAGCCGCCATAGAGGAAAATAGTTTAGTAGAGTAATTAATTGTTGTTTAAATTCTAGACAATATAGATCATTTATATCTTCTCCATAATTATCAGTAATTGCTTCTTCATCAATCCTTGAAATCATAGATTTTTTTTCATCAACTTCACTATCAGTATTTCCAGGGCTTTCATGGTCAATACTATCAATTTTTTCATAATCTGGATTGTTTTTTTCAAGATTTTCGTGATCGGCTAGTTTCGTAGAATTATCTTCCCTCATTTTATTTTGCAATAATCGTTTACTTATCAAAAACTTACTTTTTTTATTAGTACTATCGAATACTTTAGACTTTGAAACAATTAATATCGCTTTTAACATATGTTTGAATTCTTCAATGCTTGTGACTCGACTAAGAAGACCCATACATCTCAGATAAAATTCTTTTTGGTAGGAGTTACTTGTTCGAAAACATTTCCATCGGGTAACCATTTTTATTAAATGTGATATGTCCAATCGCACTAATGTAATATTTGGATTAATTTGCACATTACACTTCAAAACATCAAGAGCATATTTCAAATAGTTTTTTAACGATAAATTATTAAATCCGCAACAACATGCATTAATTAATGCTAATGAATAGTCCGTTATGACTTGTTTAGGTTTTCTTGCACCACTGCTTAACCATGTTCGGATCCAATAAGTTAGAAAATTTGTATCATGCTTTTCAGACAATGCTTGAAAGATAGGCAGAGTAAAATCTCCCAAGTCGGCTACAGCTTGATATAAATAAATAACGTGATTAACTCCACTTGCTCGATTAATTTGTTTAACGATACCACCAGTAGCATCAATGCTTATACATCCCATTGGATCATGAGTTTTAAATAAATTGTATATGGTTAACTGTTCTGGAAGCCAGTACATTACGTAGAACTTATTAAGAGAGATCTGGTGCAAATATGAACCAATTTCTGAAGAATATTTGAGTTTTAGAACGGCTTCGATATCATCGGAAGTAGATTTTACACCCAGTTCTCTATCTGCTATTTCCTGCTTAGCTTTTCTTAGGACTGAAGGCTTATATAAATGAGCTGGTTCGTTATCACCATAATCCATATATTTATTGGCTGCATTAGATCGCCATACCTTTGTAGAAACTCCTTTTAAATTTTGTGCTACTTTGATGCGTCTTTTTCCTCTAAGTTGTCTCTTGCTTTCATGTATTATACCACGTGTATTAAGTGTAGATACCTAGAACTTAATGCCGTCAGAAGTAGGATTAGACAGGGAATATAAATGAATCCGAGAACTGCATTCATTGCAATAACCTTTTAGAGTTAAAAAAATTGCTCCTACCGTACAATTAACAGTGACAGTGGAAAATGAAAATGAGCACGGAAGATGGAACAAATCCCATAATTTAATGTAAAATATATCAGTCCATCCACTTCGAAAGCGGTTCTTTATTGAATCACCCATTTTTCGTTCCTTTAAGTCTAAGTTTTTCCACTCTTTTAAATTAAAATGTAGTTCCCCAGTTAATAGATGAAGTTTTTTAACTGCCTCAATACGCATAGACCAATTGGATACATTAAGGGCTTTGGCTTTCTTTTTTTTCAAATAAGGAGATGGAATGCCGTGAAGTTTATAACATAAATCATGACGATCGTTAGTGACCATCATATAAATGTTTAGGGGCGTTACCCGTTCACCCAATGCAACAGATGCTTTTTGCCATATTAAATGTTTTCTTGTATGAAACTTCTTCCCATTAATCATAAAATTAAAACATTTCAACTTCTCATAAATTTCATTATGATCAACTGCAGCTTTCGATGGCATGATTGTCAGCAAAAAATTGGATCCAAAAAATAGTATGGAACGTGAGCAATATAAAAGTGCTTGATAAGTGGTAGACCATCACACCGAGATAGTGAAATTTTTGGTTATGTTTAAAAACACTATTTGGAAATTTTGCTCACAATTTAGCAAATTATTAATTGTTTTATAGCAATTTAGCTCAAAAGGATAATCAGTTACGTTACTATCTTTTAGAATTTCTCAATATACTATTCTAATTATTCAACTAAAAGTACACTTAGATAAACAATAAAAATACGTAAAATCTTAATAGCTGTTATTCACGAACACGAGGAGAATAGAAGATAGAGAACCAACATGAGCGTGAGTTCTCATTGGTTGATGATTTTCCTCTATTGGTGGAATTTTTTTTATGAATGTGACACAATTTATTTCGTTTTTTTCTATTTGTTTATTTTTGCTCAATAGATCGGCTCTTATTCTGTAAACAATTGCAGCATCATCACACGTCCATAGAAATCGCACTAATTTAAACAAAGTGTTGTTAGAATAATTAACATAACTTCGGAAATTCGAGAATTGCTCATAACCAGCGGCAATACATTCTGTAACAGAGTCAAATGCACACGTATTTTTTACCGACAAGAGTAAGCCTTTAGATGTTTTTATTGGAGGCATGGAATTACCATTTTTCAATACTTTAACAGATCTGTTTATTTCCATTTTATTCAAATTTTCCCAACTGATCTGATTCAATTCCGATGCATAATTGTCATCATGTTCATTGAAAATTTCTTCACTATCTGATATAATTATAGATTCTTCACACGTATACGTTTGATTCATAATAACCGATTCATTTGTAGCTTTTTCATCAATAGAACGTAACATAACATAGCATTTCTTCATTGGTGGTTGTTCATTCTTTAGTATTAAATCCGTATCAACAATATCTTTCTTTCTCCTATTACTTATTTCTTGAATATTATGCGGTAAGGTTTCTTCTAACGTTAAATCATCTTCATCATTGCTATAATTAGAAGAAGTACTAGCTGAAGCAAGACTATCCGAGATTAAACGTTTATGATTATTGCCATGAACATTAATATATTTTTCCATAGCTAAAATCATTTCGCCCTTTGATGATCGAATGTGTTCGATTAAAAATTCATCTATACGTTTGAATTTCTTGTTCTTGATTATAATTTTTTTGAGCTTACTAAAATATTGCTCACCCCGAGCCGATGATGCTGTATATATCTTATTTAATTCATCTTCGTTTACTTTTTTATTCTCAATGAAGTGTTGGAAATATATATGAGGCATAATATTGGTCCACAAAATAAATGTTTTCGACAGCTTAAATAATTTTTG